GTGCAATAATATACGCGAAAACGCGAGACTTCCTCGTGAAAATCATCGCTTAGAATTATTTACAAGCGGGTGCAGTTGGTCGGCGACCTGGTGCAATCATATACGCGAAAACGCGAGACTTCCTCGTGAAAATCATCGTCTGGAATTATTTACCAGCGGGTGCAGTTGGTCGGCGACTTGGTGCAGCAATATACTCGAAAATTTTCATACTTCCTCACGAGTAGCATTGTCTGGAACAATTTATAAGCTGGGGCCACAAGGCAGCGACCTTCCGTGATATTTTAATTAAAAGTATTAGAAGAAATCTTTCCCACGCTCGCTGTAGCGATAATTTAATATATAATTTTAATAATTTATTTTTTTGACATAACTAAACCATATTCTTATACATCAATGTTTTCTATTTATTAAAACCTTTATTTTGTGTATATTTCAAATAGTCGATTTTAAATCAAATTTCAAATTTCGCGCGCGTTTCCGTTCGCAGCGTTCCGTTCTGCAGTCACTTTTGTGAACCCTGATGCACACTCGAACACACAAACACACACATGGACAGTTTGCTCGTGTATCCTTGAGGCATCCTTTATATGTGTAACTGTGTGCCCGTATATAGCCGCGCGCGCCGACATCTTTTATCTTTCCTCTCCATCGACGCTCAGCCTCTCTTCTCCCTTTTTTTCTTGACTTTTTTTTCTTTTTATTGTCCAATTTCAGCGCGCGCGCACGAGAACCTTCTTTTTAATTCTTACACACGTTAATATACGATACGAACTCATTACTTTGCATTTCACCTCGGCTCGAGCTTAAACTTCGCGCTGACACGCCTTATGTAATGCAATATTAAATACGCTTTCCAATCGTGCAAGTACGCCGCCGCCCTTATAGCTCTGTTGCGATGCCTCGTTGCAATTTTCTCGCGCCACGATTTCGCGGGTGAATCTTCCTCTTCCTGTGCGTATAAGTGTCTCGGAAAAACCGACGGCAAAAGGAATAGCTCCAAGCTAATTTGCAATACTTAGCCAATTTCTTATCTCTGCGGCTTTTTATATTTCAATTGATCACTCTTGAATGGCGAAAATAGGAATGGTATATGTTATATTGATTCACTCGTTCTACATTACATATATTTGTCACAAAAAATGTTGTATCTAATTTTTATAATGAATAGTTTATAACATGGCAATTTCGTATGCTCGAAAGAAATTTATTTTGAATCAAGCATGTTTTTTCCCCAGTGCGTGCATGTATTATTCATTCGGTAACATTTTTCTGGGCATATATAATTTGTAAAACGCATTGTCGAATTCGTGTATTATACCTGCACGCAGAGCCGCGAGGAGAAGCCGAAAGAATTATACATGCCAGAATTGTGCGCAGAAAAGGAAGTAGCTGTATATGTGGTATTCATTGAACTGCGTTTGGATATTATAAGTTGGAGAAAGCCGTGCCGCGCGCGGTAAATACAACGATTCGATCGCTTGGTGAAATTTTGCTCGCGCACGTATACGCACTGCATCGAGGCATTATTTGCTTTTTTAATTTTTTTCCTTTTTTTGGTTTATCGTGCGCGAGCTCCGCCAAAGAAGCAAAGTGTTTTATATGTGTGTACGATTTTCGAAAGCATATTTGCTGCCGCTCTTGCTGCCAAAGTTCGTATTTGTACCTTTTATACAGACACGCATGCGAGAGAAGCGCTGAAAGTTGAGCTCCACTGGTGAGCGCGCGTTAAGTGTGTCTGGCCGAGTCGTAGTCGTCGTCGTCGTCGTCGTCGTCGTCGTTGGCAGGGCGCACACGCAGCGCACACCATATACAACACTGCATACAACGTGTATACAGGCATATATACAGCACATAGGACTGGCATATAAAAACTCGCGCGCGGGCTGAGTAGTAGTAGTGGTGTTCAGTGGGCCGGGGCCCCTTCCGCAGCATTCAGATAGAGCTCCGATCCAGTGGCTCGCTCTCGCAAAGGGGGGCAGCAAACATAACGAGAGAGAGAGAGAGAGAGAGAGAGAAAACTGCACAAAACGACAGCTGCTCCGCGTTGTGTGCTCTCCGTCTCTGTCTACTGCGGCCGAGCTCGCGCGCGCCTTCGCTCCACCAACTCCTATATATAATATAACATAGCGCGTATAAAGTGTACAGCAACGCAGGCAAATACATATCTGGAACCTGGCACACGTATACACTTGTGTGCGTGTGCTGCTGCTCCTTCCCCCAACGAGACGGGCTCTGCGGCACGGAGTAGCGAGCCGAGCGGGCCCCTTTTGAGCTTCCCTCACCACGAGGGCCCCGGTCGCGTGGCACCGACTGCAGCACCAACAGCAGCAACAACAACACAGCCTTTTTCTCCTCTCCGCGTCTATACGTGTATGCCTCGGCTGCCGAGCTTCGGCAAAAACTCTCGCTGCACCTTTCCTCCGCTTTTTTTCTTCTCTTTTTTTTTCATCGCATACGTATTGCTATCCTGTTTCTGCCAGTGCGTTGCTCACCCTGCGAGCCAAAAATAAAGTACGCGTAGGTACCGCATCGACGACTACGCTCGGCGTAACCCGAGCACTTGTGTGTGCGTATCGCCGTTTTTTTTCGACTAGTTGGACGAGTTCGCGACCCGCTCGGCCGATCGTGCCTTTATTATAATACCTTTGAATATGTAACTCCGCTCGTGAGCGATTAATCATTTTTCCCTCGATTGAAGCGATCTCGCGACAGAAATTTTGTACCTCTTCCAGCTCGAACCATTCGTATACAATTTCTATTATGTTTTTTCTTCTATTGCTCAAGGCTTATTATATATTTTCATTATCCTATCTCCATTTCGACCACCTATCGACCACCTTTTCTCATTCTCTCTTCTTTTCCAATGAAGCTTACGAATTTTGTATTTTCTGCTTCGTGAGCTCCTCTTCGCGCCATAACTCTATTCTCTTTTCCAGGAATATACTCCCGCGTGAGCGATTATAATGATTCGCTGTGTGGCTTCTTAGCCATACGATAATGATCGGACAGGATTCGGAAAACTTTTTAAAATCCTATTAGGCGCCTTTAATTTGTAATGGAATATTTCAAAATTACTAAATCATAACTAATTATGCTATCTTTGTAAAATATATATATTTTTTTTGAAGCGTTAGGTCAATTTCGACACAATAATAGGTAAAGTTTGCCTCTGCATTTTCACTTTATTCAGATGATAAATGATACTCTCTGCTCGTTGAAAACCCCTGATTAAGTCTTTGCACGTAATATTTTTAAAGGATTTTTCCCTTCTGACATCATCGATTTGTATAAAAGAGAATATGAAAAAAGATTATAACTCGTGTCTAGTGCGTATCTGTTTGTAATTTAACTTCGATGCGTAGTGTGCGTAGATATATTCGTTTTATTTTTATTTTGATCGTCAACGCGTCTTTCTTGTGCGAAATTGCGACATGACTGGTTTTAATGTAATTTCGATTTAAGATACTGATGATAGTTTACACTTTCATAAATCGAATCTTTATCTTAATGTTATATTTCACAGTCTCAACACAACAACTTTAATAAATTAATTTATTTTGTGTCGGTGTCGAATTGTAGTAAATTGATTAATATTCTTGCTTGAAATTTTTTAATGAAAATTTTCAAAAATATACAGACTCCAAACAGGACTATCTTGCATTGGTTATTCGATATTTATGATCATTTCACGAAATTCATCAGAAACAGTAATAAATCAGTATAGTTTTTCAGTTGGACGATTTTAATCAATTAAATTTTTTTGTTGATTACGAAAAAAAAACAAAGATTCATGCACAGATCGAAGATGAATGAAACGATGAGTTTAATGAAACAATACATATATATTTCGAGATGAAAGTACCATATCATGAGTTTCAAGCATCCCAACGGTAATGTGTTGGTGTATGCAACTTAACACCTGCTTTGTTTTCATTGATAACTAAAAAATTTATAAAACGATTCATAAATTTTATTAAATTAAATTCAAGTCGTAAGGCTCGAAAATACTGCCGAAAAGCGATGTGCTGTGTTCGCTGTATTTTAAAAATCTGTGTCTGTGTTAAGAACAACAGCTTTGTTGCGTAGCGCTATCATAATATGGACGGCAAGAAAACGCACTGTGTAACACACGGAAAGGTTATGCACGCCACACACAAAGTAAACAACAGAACAAACACAACTCTCAGGACTCTTCGCCAGTTTTCTCGTGCGAGGATTAGTTGTTAACGGAATTTCAAGTTTGAAAGATGGAAGCCAGTGATTTATTTGGCTTTTCGGTCAGGTAAGTTTTATTTTATACAAATGAAATTATTCAAAAATATTATAACCTAATACTCACGTTTACTGGACTTATTTTAGAGTGAAAAAGGAGCCTAGTGATGTGACGCCGAGTAAAAATATTTATAAAATGATTGACGAAAAACCCGATCTTCAAAATTTGCCATTTCCTCCAAAAAATTCAGTAAGTTGATGATTGTAAATTTTATCTTGTATCGTAGTTGATTTTTTATGCAAATTCTCTCATAGTTTTAATCTTTTAGCAGACCCATACCCTTAAAAAATGTGACAAAAGTCGTGAAAGTGAACTTGACGACGAACTGAAAATAGTTGTCGAATGCGAAGACGTAAAGCCCTGCATAGATTTATTAAGAGTAAAGAAAATTGACGATGATTTCCCAAATCACATGAAGAATACAAAAGATATCAACGACAAAACTCTAAATTTAATTAAAATGGAACCCAGAGAAGTGAAACAGGAATTTGTTGGCGACATTACAGAAGAATTAAATTTGAATGTAGACTGTGAACATGTCGAACAAAATAATAAAAGAAGAATTACAAAAAACTTAGTCAACCAACATAACCGTAAATGCAAAAAGGATTTTTCAACTAAGGATACTCTGACTAGAAAACCGAAATCATTGCTTCACTGTATTGCCCACTCATGCGATAAGTGTGCTAAGACATTCAAATATAGGGGCAGTCTCAAGACTCACATCGATGAGGTTCACAAGAATATCAGATATGCATGTGATATATGCGGAAAGTCATTCACCCAAAAGATTCATCTTCAAAGCCATGTCAATACGGTGCACAATGGCGTCAAACATACATGTGATATATGCGGAAAATCATTCACCAACAAATTTAGTCTTCGAACTCACATCGATGCGGTACACAAGGACATCAAACATAAATGTGATACATGCGGCAAGAAATTCACAAGCAAGGATTATCTTAAAATTCACATTAATGCTGTACATAATGGTATGTCACCACATGCATGTGATTTGTGCGGGAAGTCATTTATCCAAAAGTCTAAACTTCAAGTTCATATTGATACGGTTCATAAAGGTATGACATGCCATGTATGTGACTTATGCGGAAAGTCATTCATCAACAAATCTAATCTTCGAATTCACATCGATGCGGTGCACAAGGGCGTCAAATATACATGTGATGTTTGCGGAAAAAAATTTACAAGCAAATATTATTTAAAAATTCACATTGATGCGGGTCATAAAGGTACGACACAGCATCACTAACTCATTTCAACTTGACTAATTTAAACATTTTCATTGATAATTTTATCATGAGTTCCTTCAATGCTATCTCATTATGTAAAAACAATGTTCAACTTTGAATTAATCAATAAACTTTTGGAGGAAAATTAAGTGCATTATTAATTGTAAAGGTTATTACAACATTGAATCCCGTCAGTAGATGTCCATTGTCCATGTTATAGTGCCAGTCACTTTTAACACGTTTCGCTTGCTCTAAAATCCTGTAGTCTCACGGAACATCTCAAAAGCTCCATTTTTCATCGGTCAAATATATGATTGAAATATTTCAAACTTAATTTAAAAATGTTTATTAGAATGTGTTAAAAAATAATGAAAAGTCTGTTATCTCAGCATTAATGCAATGTTCGTTAAAATTGCCTAAAATGTATCGAACGTATGAATTCATTTGAATAAAAAAGAACTGGTTTAAATTAAAAAGCTTCATTGATGTCAGCGAATAGTATTTCGAGTGAATCCTTGAAACTGCATGCAGAAATGACTACGTAGACCGCTCGAGCTTGAGTAATATCCACAGGGTTGGTGAGCTGCACAGGGATTAGACTGCGAGAGGTATCGAATTTTCAATCATGTGTGCAAGAGGTTATTTAAGTCGCTTGTCAGGTAAATGGCTCGAATCAGGCCCATGCCCCGAGAGATACAAGTCTGAGCTGGAACTCGATACAGGCTCGTGTACATGCAACGTCGGGTGGTTGCAAATTTCGACGAACGGGTCAAGCGAGCGTGAACGCGGCGACCGTCCAACGTCGTCTCTGCACTGCACACCAGGCCCCATTTGTTCAGTGCACTGTTTCTCGTAAATAGTCAGCTAATGCGAGCTGCGAGATGCAGCACATTTGCCGAGAGTCCATGAGAAGTCACGGCTATACGTCGATTGATTACGATGCAGAGTGAAAAGTACACGCGATCGGTAAAATAATATCCAGTCAAAGATCAGCTGCATAGAAAAAAAACCGACCAAAGTCTGGATTTCTGCTTGAACCTTCGCAGATGTAGCTGAACGATTAAATTCTGTTAAACAATTAATGAGCAAATTCGTTTTACACTTGATTTTAGATCGATTTTGCTGAACTTTTAGAGAAATTTGCCATAATATAATCCGTCCACTAGCGTAGTTACCTACACTTGCTAAATAAGCTAGTGGTGCACACGGGTATTACGATGTGCATCGCTCAACATACATACAAATGAAGGCAACAATAATAATCGTAATTAGCTGCGGGAAATGGGTGCTTGCAAGGGAGGGGCGGGAACTACTGTATACCATCCCCGAGCCGCTATAAGTATACATACTTATCGGCTGACTGACTGGCTGGTATGAAGCAGACAAGCTTGCAACACGTAATCGTGATATAAGCTCGGAACCGAGTAGATATAGATGTCGAAGTCGCGAGAGCGTAGTTATGTATACGCGCGGGCCGCTCTGAGGATGACGGGCCGCCGAAGCTACTGTTGCTGCTAGCCCATGCCCATAACGTAATAATACTAGCTAGCTGCCCCCCGTCCCTGTCCTTTGATGCATGATGCGCCGCTGCTGCAGCCATGAGCGGCCGAGCGAGCCGAGCACGCGGGGATCGCCACCGATTCGTGCACACGCTCCGGCGAACGTGTCAGCGGCAAGCTGAAACTGTTAGGATTCATAGTTATCTCCTCCCCGTGCTCTCCTCGCGATACTACTACTCTCTCTCTCTCTCTCCGCATATAACAAGCAAACTCTCTGTCATGCACCGTAACCGTATGAGCGCGAGCGGCTATTTCTCTCTCTCTCTCTCTCTAATGTATAACGCGTGTTCGGATAACGGTCGATCTCTCGCGAGCAGTCGCCGGCCAGCCACCACCTCCCCATCCTCACGGTCAGCCTTCCACCGGCAAATTATCCGCTGAGCAATTATGCGATCGCTCATATAGAGATGGTCTCTCTCTCTTGCTCTATGTCGCATGCGTTTGCTACATAGACACATGGATACGTACGTAGGCCACAGGGTCGGCCGCGTCGTGCTCCGGAAACTTATTAGGGCGGCGATCTCACACAAGCCCGCGAGTATGAGCTGCTGTATACGCGTCACCGACGCCGCTCTGTGCTATATGTCCACCAGCCGTCCGGCCAATGCGCCAAACAACGTCCTTTACATGGAAACTCGTCGAATTAATGTCCAGCCCCTCCTACTTGTCGGCTACTCCGCACTTCTCTAATATATAATGATATAATTTATACAGCGTATTTCAATTACAACTAATGCCTTTGCATATATTTTGCATTTCTATCGTACATTACTCGACCATCGAGCGATATCTTATTTTCAACAAACGCACAGATCGTTTACTTGACGTTCGGCTGTACAAATGGCAATGAACGATTTTTTTTATTAAATTCGCATAACAAATCTAAAAAAACTCAAATAACACCTCATTTTTTTTCATTTGTTTCAGAAAAAACGAATTTTGAAACGTTTGTCTCGTCAGTAAACAATGGAATTGTAAGTTTAAACAATTTTTAATCGAATTTTTAAAGATTATTTTAATGATTCAGCTTTGGTATTGAATCTCAACAATTTTTTCTATTATTCGATTCAAATATTTTCAAAAGTTTTATTTTTTAATTAATTATCATTGAAGATGATCATATTAGAAAAGTAGGTTAAAAACTAAGAAATATATTTATTAAAATCTAATTTATATTTAAAAAAACACTAACGTGATACAAATATGCACTTGATAGGTGCTCGTAAAATATTTTTTACCGTAATGTTTCGATTTATTCGCGGAAACTCGCGAGTTAATTTCATTTCTTTTCTTCGTTGATTTCAGCCGTACGCGGAAAATATTACTGGAAGTGGTTATCAAACTTTAATTGGTGGGTCTGGAAGCGTTGCCGAGGATGCAGGCAATGGTGGCATGGCTTCAACGAGAGAGCAGCCTGCGTCGGGCGTCGAAAGTGCGACTTATCCTCCCGATTCTCCGTACTTCCCATTCGGTAGTAGAGTTCCTATAAACGAAGCTGTACCTGTTAACGTTAACACATGCGCTGGACCTAAGGATCAAGATTCTATCGGTGAGCTATCACTCTCCAAATGAAAACGTCGATTTTCATACTTTGAAAGATAATTTGCGCCGATCGACCAATAATCCAGTACTAAACATTTTAATAATTTTTTTAGGTATAGCAGCCAACACGAAAAAGAAGAAAGATGTAAGCACTATTTAATTATTTGTAATTTCTCATTGATCATTTGTAAAATAACTGCCAAATTTTCCCACATGTAATTACAGTTAAAAAAGTAATTATTATCTTTGTATACGTTACTTTGTTTACGTAATATTCAGTTAATTTAAGACTCGTTCAAAGAATAAATGAGCCGAAAAGGCTGGTTTTCATAATTAAGATATATTTTTCGTTAAGATGTTCGTAAAATAATCAATTTTGGTAGCGTAAAAGTAATGTATATTGCTTCCAACTTGAGTCGTGTGCGGCTTAATTAACTCTTCGAGAAGCTAATTTAAGAGCGAGAAAGCTCGACTGACTGATAAAGAAAGGCACAAAAATTCGATGGAGAAAAAGTGGGCAGGAGCGCAGCAGTAGCGCGTCGACTTCGAGTCGTAAAAAGATTTTGTAAAAGCCAAAAAAAAAGGGATTCGGGTGGGGAGAATAAATAAATTACACAGTACGCGTTATGTAGGTGCGCGTGCGTTATAATGTTTCGAGTATATATAACGTTGTATCATAAAAGCAAGTATACGCTCGCTTGGCTGAACGAAGGCGCAAGTAATTGCTATTTAAATTATAGCAAACTCAAATTTCCGTGGGCCTGGAGCTGACGTTGATCGGGCACGAGAGCTGCTAGCCGCTCGATGCACACGCAGTCGTCGATTATTGTCATTACCGTCATTATTGCTGCTGCTGCTGCTGCTGCCGTCGCCCCCCACACCCACACCCCCACACAAGAATACACAATCCCCTCTTGTTTTATTCGCGCTCCCGCTCCAACGGAATAGTCGCGCTTCCTCGAGTGCAGCGCGGTGTATAATCTGCAGCCAGGCACGTGCTTTGAGCGATTGCCACGTGCTTTCACCGTAGTATATCGCACGCGCGGCAAAAAGTCTCGGCCCAAAAGTCAGCTCGATCCGCGTCTATATCGTTAAACTGCCTAGTGACAAACGATATGCATGCGCGTGTGTACGAGTATGATATTTATAAGACGACGACACGCGACTCGTGCGGCCTCGCGTCGATCGTTTTCACTTTCGCTACTCGTGTTCTCTGACAACCTTAATCTTTTTCATCTCTCTCGCTGTGACTGATGTTGCCGAAAGCAGAGAAATTGCATTCCTATTGAGTATTGGCTGAAATTAATGTGTTTCTGTTTTTTTTGTCCTTGATGCTGACCAGGGCCAGGATCTCAACGCCGCCGACGGAGGAGTCGTTACAGCACAGCATTGGGTAAATCTTTTTTACTTTTATGCTTGTTCAATTTACTTTAATTACTATTGCAAAAAGTAATGATACGATAATCGTTGTGTTTACAGTTATTTTTTTTTACAATTTTTACTAGATACATTTTAATTTTGTTTCGTAATTTTTAATTGTTCATTCTCATTCGAAATGTTATAATTTTTTTTATTCGTTTTTTTATTTTTATTTTAAATTATATTCTGTTCATTTTTTGTTTATTATTATTTTATTTTATTACTCGCTTATATTATTTGTTATAACTGTTTGTTATGCATCTTATTTCTTATAAATGGTAAAGATTTTTCAATCAATGATATATTATTTCGAAAAATTGCGAAATTCAAAAAGGATTCTATATAGCATGAAGCATACTGAGGAACTTGATATTCATTGAAAAAATCGTTGATCTTTTGAGTAGCTAAACCATTACATTACCCTGAAAATTACACTGTCAAAACTATTTTGGTCTATAATTTTCTGCAAAAGCATAAATTTACCAACGTCATAATCGTCACATTTAAAGCTAATCCGTGCAAATAATATTGAAATTTATAATTAAAATATTCAATGCATATCGTTATAATTTCCAACTATATAATTGCCAGGGGAAACTGATACAATGCCAATCGAATCCGCTTAAAGTTCTGCGGTAAATCATTTCAGAAATCGATTAAATTATTATTTTAGCTTAATTACATTATCGCGACGTGAATTTCAAGCTGTAGGTGATATTAGCATCGCTTATAACCAAATATTTTCGAGCCTCATCGTTTCCGAGCTTTATTCAAATCCCAACGGGGAAGCGTGAAAAATACGACCGAGCAGTCGCTCGTCCGATTATATATTATACACAAGCTAGTCAAGATTTCTCAGGATGCAGAAAACATGAAGATACGCGCGAATAGACAATGTGACACATGTTTCCAATTGCAACGGGCTAAAATATCATTTACTCTGGGTATTTTTCGTCTGTGCCACTTTTTTTTGAAATCTAAAGGGAGTTTGAAAACACAACAAATCGTGAGAGCTGAGAGAGCTGCTGGCCTCGTTTCACTCGGAAATACTAGAAAGCGCGTATACGCATTGCAGAATAGTCAGCCAGCAGCAGCCTCTTTTCATCGAGAGGGAAGTATAACGCCTGTCCTTGAACAGACACAAAAGCTGCAGTGGTTGTAAATGCGATTCGGCTCGCTCGCATGGGCAGCTATCCTCGGTCGTCCTGCACTGGTGCGGCTTTCACCCTCCGATTATAGGCACTATAGCGCGGGTAACGCCCGTTCGTAGTTTACAACGCGATATGCCCGCCTACGAACGAAGTGCAGTGGAGTTCGCTCTTGATCTTGTGCCACTGGCCGTTATAAGACGGGAAAGATTCGATTTACGATCGAAATATTCTCTCATCTAGGTTCAATTCTCATATGCTGTAATCTTGCCTGCCTCAATTTTTCTAACCTTTTCATTTATGATTATAACTCGCTTAAAAAAAATTAATGCTCATAACCTGGCTCAAGTGTGCACCAAATATGGCCCATGTTTGGTGCAAACATTGACATTGATTTTTTTTACGCGGGAAGGTATATTATCAATTCCACAAATCTTCGATAATATTCGAGGCTAAAATTACGATTGAAATTTGTGTTATTGTACGCTTGTGATTGACGTTGGTAATTTTTCACTATGGTCCGGGAAACAGAAAAGTGTGTGAGTTATTAAAAATTGAATATAGATAATAAATTTTAAATTGTATAATTTTGATCGATTATTCTATGTTTCAAAAGTGAAAAAGGAGCAAGAAAAAGTTTCGAATAATTACGGCATAGTGAAACATGGAATGAACAATCAAATTTAGGGGAAAACTAGATTTTTCGTCCACGACCTATATTTCTATAAAAAAAATCTCAATTTTTTCCAAACTGAGAACGAGGGTAACTATCCACGTTTCTGAGACCATAATTATCCACGCCATAGCTATAATGCTCGTCCAATATAAAAAATTTCATCGTCATTTCAACATCAAAATTTAGTTAATAATTTATAAACGGACTCATATTTGAATATACGAATTAATGCAGTAAACCAACATCATTTAGAGTATTTTTCGCGAAACTTATCTGCAGATAATACAGATTAAGAAAAAAGCCACGCACGTGCCCTTATTTGCGTAATATAGTGGTCGACCACATAAATGTGAAAAATTTTGCCAGTTAAGGTTGGCAGTCGCGACATCGCCTTGCTAACCTATACGAGTGATGCGTTAACTCGCCAGTGTGTAGCTGGATATTGTCGACGAACAAGTGTTTACCAATTATCTTAGAGCATAGATCTTTTCGTAAAATCGAAGCATAAGATCAGCCATTTTAGACCATTAACCTCAAATATTTCATTGGTGTGAATCGTGAAAATTTACACAGAAAAAATTCAATCGAGGAGATGATAGAAAACAACAGTGCCATTATTATAATCTCAGTAAACATATAAATGTAGTACATCTCCATAGTAAGCCTTTCGAATGTGAGATTTGTCACAAATTATTTGGATTCAAACATCACCTTGAATCTCACATAAGGGCAGTACATAATCTTCTCAAACCTTACGAATGCGGTATATGTTATAAATCATACGGATACCAGAATCATCTCAAACGACACATAAATACAGTACATGATAAAATCAGTACATAATCGTAGTAAATTGAACCCGTTTTGGTCGCAAGGTTACCTCGAGAGCTCACATAAATACAATTCAAGACCACACTGAAAGAAATTTTGGATTAATTTTGTCTCACGATGTCACATTACGCTACAAAGTGGCGGACCATTATCATTCCTCATTCTCGGTTGAATCTAATCTCACTAGGGTGCGTTTTGATCCCATGGCAAGCGCGCGCTTTTCTCTTGTGAGATAATTTCGATACCAACACTTCGGTATTGTAATTGTCCACACACCTAATATCGACAAGCACACGCAAGACGAGTACGGTCTCTTACGTTAGGTATCAAATCGCTCCCAATCTTGGCCAGTAACATTTCCTAACACATAGAGTTCTTCTACCAGCGTGCCTGGAGCGCTGTGGTCTCTGTGAGAGAGAGATATGCTTCTAAATTTCTTTCAGTGCATAGGAAATCATTTAAAAAATTCGATTAGTCGCCAGATTTTAAAACACAATAAATGTTTACTCGCATGAGTATTTTATTGTTTTAAAACGCTTGACATGAATATTTTGCTATTTTGTGAAAAAATTTGATGGTATTTAAACTGATATTAATTGGATTGAAAATGTAAAAAAAATTTTTTTTCAAATGTGCAGGAACTTATATAATAAATTATACGTTTTCGTTTTCAATTAGTTTTATTACTTATTATCACTGTAAAATCTGAGTTCTCAAATTAAATTTGTTCCTAAACTTGGCGTTGTGTGAGTCGATTCATCGTTTCTTAATGTTGTTCGTCAATGCACTGTCCACCCCTACTCCTCAAGACCTCCATAAACAACTATCAACATCTATTACGCGCACGCGCGCAACGGCAAAAATTTCTGTCGCAATTTCAGCTCTGAATTTTGCCGACGATCTGTAGAATTTTTTATCTAGCACATGCATAGCCGCGTGCAACCCTATTACTTATAATTCGCCTGCATTGTTATAATAATGAACGACACGTAGACGAATGCACACACCTTGCAAGGTGGGCACCGGCCCGAGTAAAGCAAGCCGAACGAGCGAAATCCGACAACGCGTTCGTTGGCGCGTTACGGT